AGACTTGGGGCGGGGTGAGGGAAATGTGAAACCTACAGAATTTGAGTGAGAACAGAGATGACAGGGTACTGTGAGCGGATGGGATGGGGTGCTCTCCTGAGCCACGGAAGAAATGGTCTGGTGGATAAGATGTCCGCAAGTCAAAAGAATTAGAGTTGTCATAGTCGACGAGGTGGTCCTGCTGGCCTTGACATTCCTGGTCCCAAAACATTCCATGGCATCTACGATGCTCACGCCGCCACCGTCCACCTTCCCAAAGACACGTTCGCCAGCCAGCCACTCATTCATCATGGCGTGTGACGTCACCACCCCGGCACACGAGTCCCTGAAATGCTTCTGTGGACGGAGGAACCTTTATCCAGATCCTTTCTCTCCAGTGCCCTGAGCGCGAAAGTTTTCTGCTGTTTTCAGAACGTCGAGGCCCAAGGGCTCGATGTCTGTCAAGATGTTGAAGACTGTGGGATTGCCGGGGCCACCTCTCGCTGAAGCCTCTTTTCTGATGCTCAGCTGTGTGAGCCTCCTCCAGTTACCTAACCTCTCTGGTTTCCTTACAGACAAGTATGGTGGTGCCTGCTTCCCCAAGTCTCACTCCTTCTAGCAGAGGCCAGTTGCTTGCCTCTGGTGTGGAAGACGACAGTCCTTGGTCTGCACACACAGGTGCTCCTCCGGTCCCTGGGGCTCCCTGCTGCCATTGCTTCAGAAGCAGGTCGCAGGTCCTCCTAGCGGCTGAGTCCCCATTGCTCTGGTGCTATGGAAACAGATGCTAGGCTGGTCCAGAAGTGACTTAGGAAACAAGCTCTGTTTGTCTCATGTCTGTAATCCTACTATAAGGGTTGCTGAGGCAGGAAGATTTTCAAGAGTTCTGGACTAGCCTGGGCTATGTAGTGAGTCCCTCCCCTCTGTCAGTCCTTTGTTCTCACGCCAGCTTGTCAAGTCCCCATCCCTACAGGGTGCCCAGAGTCTCCACCCTGGACCACAGGTGCCTGAAGGCAGTGTTGGTCAGCCCAGTGCCCACCATGAGCTCAGGGGTGGGGCAGCAGCTGTGTGACCTATACTGGGTGCTTAGTCAGTCCTTCCAGAGACAAACTGCTGCTGGGCAGTGGTGGCCACGCATTTAATCCCAGCACTCGGGAGGCAGAGACTGGCAGAGCCCGGAGTTTGAGGCCAGCCTGATGTATGGATAGAGTTCCAGGTCAGGTTCCAAAGCTACAGAGAAACCCTGTCTCGAAAAAAAAAAAAAAAAAACGAGAGAGAGAAGAGAGGAGAAAGAGAGAGAGAGAGCTTAACAGAGTTCCACAGACTTGAGGAGGCAACACAGAGCAGAAATTCCGTGGTGTCTGGAAGTCACAGTTTATGGTCGTGAACCATTAAGCCTATCCAGGCTCCGTGGCAGCCCCTGCTGGCTTGTAGACAGCCCTTCCTCTTACTCATCTTTAAGTGTATGGGTGTTTGCCTGCACGTGTGTACACCATGTGCAAGACTAATGCCCATGAAGACCTGGAACTGGAGTCACAGGCAGTTGTGAGCAGCCACGTGGGTGCTGGGAACCTAACGCTGGTCCTCTGCAAGAATGGCTGGTGGTTTTTTTTTAATATTTATTTATTTATTTATTATGTATACAATATTCTGCAGGCCAGAAGAAGGCACCTCATTACAGAAGGTTGTGAGCCACCATGTGGTTGCCGGGAATTGAACTCAGGACCTTTGGAAGAGCAGGCAATGCTCTTAACCACTGAGCCATCTCTCCATGGCTGGTGTTTTTTAACTGCTGAGCCATCTCTCCGGCCCAGGATTGCTCAGCTTCCACTGCCAACAGGGCCCAGTGACCTCTCTTAAGGGACACTCGGTCTGGGGGACTGACTTATAACCTCGTCAGCTCCCAGCCCATTCACAGCGCCAGTATAGCCAGTCGAGCTCTCCACGAGAGCTTGGGGGACACAAGATCTCAGTCTTCTTGGAACTATGGCAGAATGGCAGCTGGTATCCTTGGAGCACCAGCAGGCCTGGCTTCACTGGGGAACCCTCTCCCCTAGGCCCGTCTGGACTTGCCACTTCCCATGAGGGTCCTGACCTCCAGGGAACTTTCCAGCTCCGGAGACCTGCGGTTCACCTTATCAGGGGTTCCACAGCCACACCTTGAAGTCAGCCCTTTCTCAGGCCAACTTGCCAAGTCCCCTCCTACTGGGTCTTTGGGGCCTCCCTACTCATGGCATGGGGTGCAGGGGAGAGATATATACAGAGGGCTACCCCACCCTATCATGCAGTGGCGCCTCCAGTGTGAGCAACACTGCATAACTGTCACTCTGAGAGTGATCTGACTTCTCTGAACCTCGGTTTCCCAGGGAAGAACTCTCCTGAGCATGCCTTCTGAAGAAAATGTGTATGGCTGAGGCCTGATCGGCTTCAGGAAACTGTGAGTCAGTCTCTGTCTTTGTCTCTCTGGTCTTGGGGTGCTCAGGATTATCTGGAACTATGTAGACCACCAGGCTGGCCTTGAACTCTGAGATTCACTCACCTCTACCTCCCAAATGCTGGGATTAAAGCCATCTGTCACAATTCCAGCTCTCTCCCACTCCCATTCCTTTTTTTTTTTTAAAAATAACTTATTTGTACTTTATGTGCGTTGCTGCTTTGCCTGCACGTATGTCTGCGTGAGGGTGTTGAATACTCCTGGAACAAGAGTTGCAGATAGTTGTGAGCTGCCATGTGGATGCTGGGAATTAAACCCAGGACCTCTGGAAGAACAGCCAGTGCTCTTAACTGCTGAGCCATCTCTCTAACCCCATAGAGAAAGTTTTTCTCTTTTGAAGTACAGATTTTTTTTTGTGTGTGGGAGGGAGTTTAAGACAGGGTTTCTCTGTGTTAACATCTCTGGTTGTCCTGAAACTTAAGAGATCCACCTGCCTCTGCCTCCTGAGTGCTGAGATTAAGGGTGTGCACCACCACTGCCCAGCTTCATTCCCTCTCAAGATTTTACTTTTAAAGTTGGCCATAGTGGCGCACGCCTTTAATCCCAGCACTTGGGAGGCAGAGGCAGGTGGGTCTCTGTGAGTTCAAGACCAGCCTGGTCTACAAAGTTAACAGGACAGCCAGAGCTATATATATATTTAATGAGACTCTGTCTTTGGGGAAAAATTTAATTGTGTGTGTGCATATGTGTGTGTGTGCGTGCATGTGTGTGTTCATGAGTTGTGCATGTGTGCATGAGCGTGTGCATGCGTGTGTGCGTGTGCATGCGTATGTGTATGTGTGTCTGTGTGTATGTGTGTGCATGTGAACATGAGTGAAGTGGCTGCTGAGTCAAGGAGTTGAAACTACCAGCAGTTGTAAACAGCCAGATGTGGGTGCTGTGAATCCAGGTCCTCTGTAAGAGCAGCAAGTACCCTTAACCATTGAGTCATCTCTGCAGTCCCCGACACCATAAGCAACACCCCTCACTTCTAGGCCTAAGGAGCCACCTCCTGAGGGTGCAGAGGCTCACAAGGCAGGAGACATTCCAGAGAAAAGAGCAGAGCTTCCTGTCTCACCCTGATTAGGGGACACCATCTGGGCCCAACAGGCCCAGCTCCCCTGTCTTGCTTGGCTTGGAAGACATGGCCTGTGGTGGTTAGGGACAGGGTGGAGACCTGGGGAGGCTTCTCAGGGCCAGGATGTGGGCAAACAGGCCCCAAAGCACACAGCACAGAGACACAAGACAAAAAGCCCCAGGAGGATTTTGAGAAGGAAAAGGAAAAGACCTAGGATCTAGTCGTCTGAAAAGTCTTTCCCCTGCCTCAGCATTCCCAGGCTCCTCTTGGTCACCTGGGGTCAGGCTCCACATGAACTGCCACGTCACAGCAGTCATGCAGGCACCTTTAGAGCTTGCGAGACCCAGGGACTGCAGAGGCCTACGGTGCATGTTTCAGTGTGCAATACACGCTCTTAAGGACATATCTCTGTGATTCTGTGGCATGTGCTCAGCATGTGGTGTCTCTGGTGTATGCATGCCTGTCTTCTCCATGTGGGTGGGTGTGGTGTCTGTGTGCCATGTGTATGGTCATATGTGTCAATGTGCTCTCTATGTGTGTGGTGTGCCTCTCAGAGCTATGCATGTGTGTGGGGTAAGTGGTATGTGTGGGAATGCCTTTGTATCTGTTTCTCCATGTGTATGATGTGTTACATGTGGCCTGTCCATGACCATGTGTATCTGTGGGGTGTCTCCATCTATGTGGAGTAGCTATGTGATATGTGTAGTCGTTATGTGGTATGCTTCTCCATGTATGAGGTCTGTATGTGGTGTGTGTATAGTGTTTGCTGTGTGTTGTGTACCTTGTTTGCATCTGTGAATATCTGTGGTACGGTTCTCTGTGTGTGTGGGGTCTCTATTGCTGTGGTATTGTGTGTCTGTGGTGCTCTTCCTGCGTGTGGGGTCTCCAGGTGGTGTATGTGCTCTTCTCTGTGTGTGGGGTCTCTGGTATATGTGTATGTGTGCCTCCCCGTGTGCTGTTTCTTTGCCCAAGGCATCCTCCCTGTGTGTGGGGTCTATGGACCATATGTTTTGTGTGTGTGTGTACACATGTGCGCACATGTGCTGTGTGCTTCTGTGTTGTCCTGTTTCAGCGTCCAAGTCCCTCTCCCTGCGTGGGTCTGTTCCATGAGTTCCCAGATTCTCCAAGGTGGCCACGTCCTGGGTCGCAGGTTGGAAGCCAAGTTCCCAGTGGGGGACCCAGGATTCAGGGTTCCACAGTGAACGCCGTGCAAGGGAAAGTTTCTGATCCGAGGCGGGAGCTGAAGTTTCGCGGCGCAAAGCCAGGCCAACACTGCCCCCGCGCGGAGCGGTGCGGCGCTGCAGGCGGCCGGGGAAACCGAGGCAGAGAGGGCACTCGCGGCGCGCAGCGCTTCTGGGAAACCGGGAGCCCTCGTCCTGGATCGCAGCCCGAAAGCCCAGAAAGAGAATCAAGCCAAGCTCCAGCCCAGCGCTGGGGACGCTGCAGCATCGCATCGCAAGCCAGGTCCAGATCTACCTTTCTTCATCCCTTTACTATCCCCAGCGCACCCGATCCCCAAGATGACCAGCCCAAACCAGCACAAACGCCGCTTTAGCATCCTGTTTCCGGGTTTAGATCACTCTCTGCAGAGTGTCCGAGCTGTTTCTTCACCGGCCAGCAGGTGGCGATAAAGACCTGGTCAGAGCTCAAGTCGGAAACTCCAGAGGGAGGGAGGCTCCCAAATTTCCTCCAGGAAAATGGGAACGTGGCGTCGTAGAGTGCCCACGTGTATGGAGGTGGCTAGGTTCGTACAGCAAATAAACTCTAGAAGGTGCCTGCCATCTTGTCTCGGGCCCCTTCCCCATGTGGATTTGAACACTGTAGCAGGCTGAGAGGGCTAAGGTTTACCCACACGCAGGGCTCTTTTTCCTGGGCTGGGGTCTGGATACCCTCACTCTACAAGACGGTGGGCAGAGAAGCCTCTGGCACTGAAGGAGTTGTTTATCCATTGCCCCAGGTTAAGATAACGGCTGGGGTCTGCTTCAGACATGGACTGACCTAGGTTTGAGGTTGTGTAGAGAGAGTTAATCACCACCCAGGAAGACAAGTCCCTGGGATGCCCCGTCTCTCCACCTCCAATCTCCTGCCCACACCACAGCTTCATCCCAGCTGTGATTCCACCCTAATCTCCCCAACCCAAGTGGTCCCAAATCAAGCACCCAGAGTGGCTTGTTTTGGGAGACCTAGTGATCCATCTCAGCTACCTAGGAGGTGTGTTTATTTGTGGGGCGAGGGAGCGCTCTTCTCATTGCCTGGCCTGGGAACACCCCTGGGTTGGGGCTCCAGCAGGCGGTCACCTCTGAGCCTGCTGCCGGTTTGTGGATGGCAGGAGGAGCCGGTAGCCCTTAGGGCGGCCTCGCTTCAGGATGGATTGCAGCACCAAGCTGGGCAGAAAGGACTCCTAGAGTGAGAAGGAGGCCCAGCTGGGCACTGCCAAGGGGACCTCAGGGAGGAGACAGGGAGGAGACCTGCCCTCCCCTGGCCCAGGTGGTTCCGCAGCTGGCCTAGGCAGCCCACCCACTCAGTAGCAGCAAGGCAGCTGACAGCCTGGCTCAGATACCTCCTCACCCTTGCCTGCCGGGCTCCACACTGAGGGGGGCTGGGCCACAGACCAAGCAGTAAGCCCCACGGTGACTCAGCAGAGAGGGTCCCCTACAGAGTCACTCAGGGCTGCTGCTTCTAGCGGCCAGCTGCCCGGGGTGCCCACCAGCGTCTGGCTCCAGGGACGGGGCAATTTGCCCCACCTGCTCCACAGTGTTAGGAGTGTCCAGGAAGGTCCTGAGGCCTCCCCTTGGCCTTGGTGTGGTGGCCCTGGAGATGAAGGGTAGGCGGCTGCTCATGGTGGCATCTTCAGAAAGGTAGAGCTGTGGTTCCTGAGCTGACCTGGTGGGGAGACAGGAGCCTATGGTTTTGTGACCTCAAGTCCCAGACCCATTAACAGCTTGTCCCCGGAGGGACCACAACCCTCCTGCTTCCTCCACCCAGAGCCTCACACTCGGGGGCAGTTCCAGTACGAGGAGCCGGCCACAGTGTCTTGGACCCTGGGACGCAGGGCTCTGGGCAGACTGTCCAGCCATCTCCCAACACTCCCAAGTACCCGCTCTGACACAGACACGGCAGGCAAAGTCGTCTGCTCACACGGAAAGATGTTCTGACGAACTAGGAGAGAGAGGAGCGGAGTGAGTTCCCTGGCCCCTCCCTGGGGGAGGGGCACACTGACGCCCCCACCCTCTCTCCTCCCTCTAGTTGGCAAGGCTAGACAGAACCCCGTCTCCATGGCAACCACAGGCTCCCCAGTGCCTTCTGGCTGCCTCCAGAGAAGTCCTGGGTTTAAAAACTACCTCCCGTGACTGCTGCTGTGGTTGCCACCAAGCTGTGCCCTGCCATGCCCCTACTCCTGCTCCAACCTCCAATCGCCCCTTTTTTTCTAAAGTAGGAGGGCCAGGCACCCCAGCCCAGAAGTGCCAGAGAGGATGCCAAGATTCTGCAAGGGATGGAGGGAGAGGTTTCATGGTGCTTGCTCTTCCTAGAACCGGCCATTCCCAGGGGCTGGTTCAGACAGGAAGGCCTCAGAAAACACGGGCTAGTCCTGGTGCCATGGGATATGGCCACAGTGCTTAGTCTGTCCTTGGATTTCTGGAACATTCTGACCTCTATTCTAGGCTTACATGGTTCTTACACAAACACCTTTTGCCTCAATTTTCTCATCAATCAAATAACCAGAAGCTGGGGGTGAGGAATAGTGGCACACACCTGTAACCCTAGCAGCTGGGAGGTGGAGGCAGGAGGATCAGTACTTCAAGGTCATCCATGGCTACATAGTGGGACAGCCTAGGCTACGAGAGACTCTGTCTCCAGAAAGACAACAGTAAATCAATATTGTTAGTCCTAGGCACAAGAGCTCTTAAATCTATTAGCTGAAATTCTATTTTTCTGATACACACATATGCACAAAATATAAATAGCCAGAAATGGGCTTCTCTGATTCTTGTGAGTGTTAAGGGGAGGGTCCTGGGGGCCACCAAGTCCCAAGTACCAAGAAAGGGGTGTGTGTGGCGATGGCTTCCTCCTGTCTTCCTCATTATCCTGCCTGCCTTCCCACAACCCTGACCTTTCTGACTGGTCATTCAAGAATCTGTGAGAGAGATGCTTCCAGAAACTGCTGAGGGGATGGGAACCAGAGCAAGCTGGGGTGGCAGCATGGACGGGCTCTCTAACGACAGCCAGGCCTGGGCTGCCATTATTTCCAGCCGCTACTCCTGGACACCACCTGTCTGACGCCACTCCTCTCTGCTGGTTCTCGGGACCCCTACATTGTCCTTGAAGATCTCCTTGGCGTCTTCTGAAAAGGCCTGTATAGGTGCTTCCTCTCTGGAATCGATGACCTACCCTGGCTCTTTGAGGATCCAGAGCCACACCTTTGACCCCTGCACTCCTGGCAGGAGAGTTCTGGAATCTCGGCTCTCGAAGGAGCTCTCTGCTCACCTGCACGGTTGCGTTCCCAGTAGCGGAGTGCTGTGTCCTGTAGGGTTTCGTCGGCAAATCTCACCCGGAAAGGACAATAGCGCCGGCGAGGCCTTGAGCCTTCTCCAGAGGGGCTGTGAATGAGTAGACTCTTCACTTTGGGGACCTGTGTGCTGTGGAATCTGCTGAGGGAGGTGAGGGCAGGGGAACCAGGGCTCCCAGGAAGATCTTGGACAGGGCTGGAGAGATGGCCCAGTGGTTAAGAATGGTGAAGAGGACCTTAATTTGGTTCTAGCACCCACATTGTTGGCTCAAAACTGCCAGCGACTTCAACTCTAGGCATACCTGAGGCCCTCTTCTGGACTCTGCAGGCAACCACGGCTCATGGGCACACCACATCCCCCATAAATAAAATAGAAATCTTTGAAAGGTCTGCTCTTGCTTGGTGGCTGGGTCACGCTAATCACGTCAGCAGGCCTTTTCCAAGGCTTGTTCTGGTCATCGTGTGACATGCTCTATCCGATCAAACCTGCACAGTGTCCAGGAAGCCCTGTCACTACTCCCAATTATAGGCCAGGAAACTGAAGCACAGAGATGTCTAGCCCATAGCTGTCACTCAAACGTCACACCAGAGGGCAGGACTGTGCACTCAGGAGCCAAGAGGTCCTGACACACTGCAACCCGTCTCCTCATTCGTGAAATGGAAGCCATCAAGCCAGGCACAGTGGCCTGTGGGACACTTGAGGGGTAGAGGCAGGAGGATCGTGTGTTCAAGGTCATCCTCAACTACACAGTGTGAGGGCCCCCCTATGTCAGACCACGTATCAACAAATAAAGATAAAATAAGGAAATCATGGTGCCCCAACCCTTTCTCAGGGCTGGCATGGAGAGGTGGGGTGGGCTGCAATGCAAGAACCTCCTGCTGAGGGTTTGCTGAGCAGTTGGTCTCAATTATGCCACTGAGGCCGTGTGAGCGGAGGGGGGCACACAGTCCTTAAGGCTCCACTTCTCAGTTTTTCTCCTTCCGGTCATGTGCTATGTTATAGGCGGGATCATTCCGCTGTCATAGGAGCTGGGAAAGTGGAAGAGCCCGTGTGGGGAAGCACTTAGAACAGGGCCTGTCATGGGGCTGTGCTCCGTGAAGGGCGCATTCTATTTATGTGTAATAGATCAAGAGGTTAGATCTGTTCATTTCTCCCTCAGGGGCTGGGCTGCGGAGCCTGGGTGCTCGGGCACTCGGAATGACCCCTGGCACCTTCACCGCGGGCACATTCATTTACGCAAGCGCACCCGCTTCTCCTGTGCCATCCTTTTGTGGATGCCGAGGATGTGTTTCTCGTCCGTCCAACAGACAGCCACGCAGCTGGGGTGACCAGGGTAGAACTTGGCTATAGGTGTTGGGGTACAGCTAGGCCGCAGTTGTGTGCAGACAAACATCATCTCTGTCCTGGCCACAGGGCCAGGCTTAGCCGTCTCCTAGCTCTGCCTGCGAGAGTGAGATCTTCACTTTCCTGCCTAGGGAAGATCACTGGAGCAAGGTATTGCAGTGAGGGACTGCTGCATACAAATAGTGTCCCACTGTAGCCTATATTTGATTGTAATTACTTGATGTGCATTAGTGTTTTTCCTGCATGTGTGTGTGTGGAGGGCGTTGGACACTCTGGAGACAGTTGTGAGCAGCCATGTGGGTGCTGGGAATTGAGCCCAGGTGTTCTGAAAGAACATCCAGTTCTCTTAATGACTGGGGAGGCATCTCTCCACCTTCCTAGTCTCTGCTTGGATCCTGGAGAACTGTGTCAGGAAGGGGTCTGAGGCTCACAGAGAAATGCGCGGTGATCGCTTAATATTGTCTGCCATGGGTACAGATGAAACGGCAATAGGACGCCTGCTATGTATGCATGCTCTCTGATCCACCTGTCCTTCCTTCCCTAACTGAGTTAATTTATTGAGACAGTTTCACTGCGAAGTCCTGGCTGTCCTGGAATTCACTATGCAGACCAGGCTGGCCTCCAACTCACCCTGCTTCCAGAATACTGAGACTAAAAACGTGTACCACTGGGGCTAGAGAGATGGCTCACTGACTGCTCTTCTGGAGGACCTGAGATCAATTCCCAGCAACCACACCGTGGCTCACAACCATCTGTAATGAAACCTGGTGCCCTCTTCTGGCCTGTGGGCATACAAGCTGGCAGTGCACTCAGACCTAAAAAATACATAACTATTTTTTAAAGAAGGTACAGCACCACACCCAGCCCTCTGGTCTTTAAACTCCCAGGCTGTGCTCTCGCCCTTGCCCTAGGCTGTTGAAACCTGTTGTTTCTTTCCTCTCTCCATGAAGAGCTCTCTAGCGTCCAGGTCCAGGGAAGCATCATTGGTGCCCCAGGATCTTTCTTGCTTCCCTTAATTTCTCTTTGTCTTTCCGCTAGTGTTTGATACATAGTAAGACTTGGTAAATGGGAAAATGACAGGAAATGAGAGAAGGATGAGACCAATGGCTGGATTTAAGACAGGATCTGAGCTGAAGAGCTGACTCTCAGGGTGGGTAGCTGGATGGTTAGACAGACGGATGTGCAAGCTCGTGGGTAGTTTTATTACTCAGGGAGAGGTGACTGGCATCCTGGGCTTTAAGTGAATGAAAGGATATTATTGGGCAGCTATAGCCAGGTGGAACTGGTGAACAGGTAGAAGACTGGTTGTCTGGGGACAGTTACAGGTTCATGGCCAATAGATGCCGTGGGAGCAGTTACAGGTTCATGGCCAATAGATGCCCTGACAGATAGCTATATAAGATATTCACACCAGCGTATAGTTCAAAGCCTAAGGTGGGGGCTGGAGAGATGGCTCAGAGGTTAAGAGCATTGCCTGTTCTTCCAAAGGTCCTGAGTTCAATTCCCAGCAACCACATGGTGGCTCACAACCATCTGTAATGGGGTCTGGTGCCCTTTTCTAGCCTGCAGACATACACACAGACAGAATATTGTATACACAATAAATAAATATTAAAAAAAAGCCTAAGGTGCATGCAAGGATGGATAGATGAGTGGATGGATGGATACATGTTAAATCCATTAGTGAGTGACCGGAAGTGAGGGAGCAAAGGAATGCCTTACTGCTCCCGCTGGGTTGGGGAGATGAGATGGCTCAATGGGTAAAGGTGATTGACAGGTAAGCCTAGCGACCTCTGTTCCACTCCCCAAACTCAGGAAGGTGGAAGGGGAAGAGTCAGCTCCACAAAGGGATAGCACGGTGAGTGCCCACAGCTACTACTACTCACGGGTTGGCCTTTTTGGCTGTGATGAATTCACCTCTTGGAGGCCCCAGGGTAGGCTTCTCTCTAAAACTGTCCTCTGAATGCAACGACTGGTCCCTTGAAGGCAAAGAGGTCACAGCCGATGGGAACAGGGCCCCTCTCCGTAGCAACCAGGGCAACCCCTCCTTTGCCAAGAAGACATCTCTCCACTTACCACAGGTCTGGGAGGAATGAGCAGCAGGAACGACGCAAACCTAGGCAGTGCTCTGATGCACCCTTGGGGTACTGTGGCGTTGAGGGTGCTGCGGGGACTGGGGGGCGGGAGAGTAGGAGGGAGAAAAGAAGAAGGGGAAGAGGAGGAAAGCCCAGTGAGCTGGGGACAGTCCTCACTGGGGACCCTAGCCCCTTCCCTACCCCACCCACCCCTGTTCCCACGGCCTCACGGTGCGCCTCCGGCTGCGCGCATTTGGCGCGCAGCTGGTGCAGGAAGTCGCGAAACTTGGTGGGTAGAAACTCCCCCAGCAGCGCGCCCACGGTGTCAGGGTCGTCGCGGGCCTTGGGCTGCCGGGTCCCCCGGGTCCCCGCTCCCCGGGCCATGCCGGACTGCAGTAGCGGCGGCAGCAGCAGCGCACG